GGTAACTACAAGAGCCTACAGATTCTCCCACCAGACTTTGCTAAGGCTGAGAGATGATAAACTTTTTTAGATCCTCCAGCACCCTCCATGAAGTATGTTCCTTGTAGATTTTTACTAGCAGTAACCTCTGTTTGCATAAGACGACTCTAAATTAATCTGTATTTCTCAAACATACACACTTTCTGTAGTTCTAACAATACTGCTACCTTCTCTCCCTCTAATTTGGCAGCCTAGTAGGTCAGCTTCAAGGTCTATTGCAGTGATTCTCAACCTTTTTAGACTCAAGGAACCCTTCATGAGGCTCAAGGTAACCCCTCAGAAAATGTCATCTCTTAGTTTTCACTCTTTTTTTTGACTATATAAAGAAAGTAGAACAATTTTTCTGTTGCAGAGAACTGAGAAAGCCCGCGCCAGGTCAGAATCTTTTTAACACTATTGATTTCTATTTGAAATCTCTGGTTTATCTTGTGAATCATATTTACAGACAAATCAGTGCTAAAATTGCATGATGCACCATGGCACCCTTGAAAGGTTCTCAAGGTACCCCAGGGTGCCACTCTGGTTGAGAATTGTTGGCCTATTGTATAGCCTGGTGGCTAAGACAGTCACCTAGGAAGGTGTATGTTCAAATCCTTTCAGCCTGAAGAGGGCCTAAGATCCAGGTCTCCCAACCTCTGGGTGGATGCTATAATCACTGCATTCTTATGTAAAAAGAGGTCACCACCACCGGGGACTTAGGGACCCATCTTCAGAGATTGTATTAAGTCACAAACAAATTGAGGTATCTAAAGTGAGGCCTGAATCAGATGCCTAAGCTCCACTTCAAGGCAGGAATTCAGACACCTCCTTTGGCTCATTGTTTCCTATTGATAGCATCTGGGCTTTCTGGGATACCCTTTAGATGCAGTTACCTCTGCCCATTCTTTGTATAATCATTCTCAACCAGGGTACCATGGTACTTTGAGGTGCCATACGATTCTTTTAGAGGGTGCCATGGGGTGCTGTGCAATATTATCACTGTTAGATCTGCAAACATTTATATATGATTTAGAAAATGAACCCAGAGGTTTTGAAAAACATTTTGACCTGTTCTGAACTTCCTGAGTTCTTCACAACAGAAGAATTGCTCTTTTATTTTTCTGTAGTCAAAAAATGAGTGAGAACTCAAAGCTGGCATTTTCTGAATGTCAAAAATGGTTGAAAACCACTGTTATAGAGCTTGTAGATATACTGCATTCCTGGGCCAAGGCAGCCAAATATTAGGCAATTCCAGTGCCTGAATGCAGTACCTCTGAAAGCAAACTTGATCAGGCCTAAAAGTACTTGAGTACTTATATCAGGCACATAAAATGTAATACCCGCTCACCATCAGTTATAATGTCTCCAGAAGACCAGATCCAGTTTTTGGACAATCTTTAACCAAAGGCATATTACATTAAGTAATCAATTGAGACTGACTTTTATAAAACTATATGGGAAATTAAGCTGCACTGGTTTGTGTACCTCATGCAGTGGCTTCTTACATGCCAGCTTTGCTTTATAGTGTATCAAATTACTTATAAGTATGATGGATTGAGGAAGGCCCATGATTTATATATCAATTCATGTTCTCATTATTAAACTTCTGTCCCTTGAGTTCACTCTAATAGCCTTGCTTTCCATATTTAGTGGATAGAAGAGCCACAGAGCTGTTTTGCACAAGTTGCTTTGTTTCTTTCTCATTTAGATTTTTTATTTAAAGGGGTTGTTTTTAAGTTTACATTTAGTCAAAATAAGAAATGTCTCATCTCACATTTGTGTAACATTATTTGTAAGATTTTAATGACCCAAATACCAATGTTTACAAAATGTGGTCTTTTTTTTTGTATAACCTATCAAAAAACACAAAAGATTTAGCCTAAATACAGAAAATGTAAGGTTAATGCTGTCACTGGACTTCTATTTCTATTTAAATCTTTGAACTTACACACAAGCCACCAACACAAAGAAGTTCATAATAACTATTATGTGGTCTATTCATGAAAACCCACTGTTTCTGCAGTATCTTAAGAGATGTGGGGAAGGTTAGCCAAGAATTGCAGCCTTAACTCAGAATAGTTTTGTGGGTGGAAGTGGAAATAAAAAAGGATTCTGTGGGTGTAAACAAAAAAATCACATTTTTCTCAGTACATATGTATAATAGCCACTGTTCAAAGCTGAATAATAAACATAGAAGCAAAAGGTTTCACACCATGGAATTTAATGTAAAAATATTTCTGGCTTCCATATTGTGGGAAGACATTAAATTCTGCAAAATCAAGAGATAAAAATTGGCTCTACACTTGGACAGATGGTGTTTCAGAAAACCAAACAGAATCTAGAGCCCTTTTACAATAGCACCAATTGTCAAGCCACAGTGGTGCTTTGAAGCCCACTGGAAAATGAAGAATTCATGCAGATAATCTGCTCTTCATATATGTCTTGTAATGCATGATTTTGTAGAGGCTTTGGAACACTCGAAGTCATATCCTGGTTTATAAACCCAGAAGTCATATCCTGTTTTTGGCTGAAATGTCTCATTGTAAATGTAATATTTGTAAATATGACACATATAGAAGTGCTGCTGAGAGGCCATTTTCATCCCTAGTTATGTGATAGAAATTGAGGTTACACAATGCTGTTAACAATTACATGGCAAGCATCAGCACCACCAACTCATGTAATTAGGGTTTGTAGGTACATTTTTTAGACTATAATGCTAATATAACAAGCACTAGCAGTGAAAACTACAAACCAAGGCTGTGAACAGACCTGGATTTGTAGCAATACAAGTACTGTGGCACTTTGTAGCACTACAAAAACAAGGAGCAATGGTCTCAAGTTGCAGCAAGGGAAGTTTAGGTCAGATATTAGGAAGAATTTTCTTACTAGGAGGGTGGTTGCGCACTGGAACAAGTTACCCAGAGAGGTGGTGGAATCTCCATCCCTGGAGGGTTTTAAGACCCAGCTAGACAAAGCCATAGGATGTCCTAGTTGGGGATAGTCCTGCCTTGAGCAGGGTGGTTGGACTAGATGACCTCCTAAGGTCACTTCCAATCCTCATTTTCTATGATTCTTTGAAAAATATTACACTATAAGGGTCATACATAAGTTGACTGTGCTATGGCTGGAGTGCTACAAAGTCATAACAAAGGTGTGCTTTCCTGCCAGGGGGCAAAGGAAAGCTGTTCCTATGCTTCCCCCCCACTTTTCCCTTATTGCTGACAGCATGCCCACTCCCTTGCCAGGAAAGAGAAACTGTCTCTCTTTTTGGAAGGGGAGTGAGCTGTCAAAGAGAAGGCAGCTGTCCCAGGGCCAACAGGTGCTCTTTAATGGCTCACCATCCTCTGTGGCAAGGAGACCTTCTACTATGCCAGTAACCAGGACAGGCTGGCAGCAGCTGTTTCCATGACAGCAGTGATAGCACCTGCATCAATCCCTGCCACAGCAGACCAGGGACAGCAGCTCTCCTTGCCTTCCTCCCCCCTCTTGGGCTATCTTTAAAAAGTGGAAGTGCCCCTTGCTGCTGCCATCTCCAGTGGGGCAAGCCCATACAGCAACAGAAAACTGCCATTGAGTGCTGGGTACCCAGGCAACACTCAGTGACTCCCAACCGCGCTCTCCCTCCCTTCCTCCTTTGTCTCTTGGGAAAGTCATACATAATTCCCTGTGCTCTAGCTGCCTTTTGAGTGAGCACTTTGCTGCCTTATCCCATCTTGGTGGTCTACATCCAGCCTTACTTTTGTAGGGTCTAACCTGTTACAAGATCTTAGGCATGCTCAGAGACATCGAGCCCTACTATTCTGTGATTCTAGGATTCTTTGTCTAGAGGATTGGGCCTTTTAGCCAGAGAGGCATGTCCTCTCCCCTCCAGGCTTCAGCTTGAGCTAGGGTTCCAAGCAGCTTGTTAGTTGTGCAGCAGCATAACATTTAAGTGACTTTGCAGCTGACTAGAAATATTGAGAATAGCAGTGATAATTAAATGGTGGAATTGCATGGAGAACCAGCTAGACACCGAGTGTCTGAAACTCTGGGTCTCAGTCTCTGGATAGAGGAAGTCCTTCAATATTGAGATAGCCCTCTCATCAGCACTTAGAATGATATTGACCTCTTTTGTTAGAGCATACAACTCCAGGCCTCTTAAAAAAAACCTATAGGATGATTCTATAGGTCACAAGAACTGCTGAAAGAAAAAAAAAACCATGGTTAAGTGTGGAACTGTAGCAGCAGTCCCTAAAACAGTAGAACTGAAAAGAGTCACTTGTTTCTGACCAAGTAGATGCCTAAGCTTTGCCCCTTTCTTCTGTATTCAAAAGCATAACTAATTTGGGTAGAATCCTCAATATTTTTGCTCTTAAATTGTATTATTACTGCTTTTAAATATGTACTAGTTAAAATGCAGACAATACATTCAGGAGTTGTAAAGTATAGCTATTGGATATTTTTAGGCTTTTGGATTTTTTCTGATTAAACAGATTTGTCATCCTATTTTACATTAAAAGTGAAACATAGCGTATGTTTCCCTTGTTATTCTCAATAGGTAGTACTTTATTTTGCAAGTAGTCCCACTGATTCCAATCAATTGAGTCCAATGGCACTACTTAAAGTAAGGTGCTAATCACCAGGAACAAAGATATCACAATGTGGTCCTAACTTCAGGAGGCTTCTCACCTGCTGGTTTTGGATGCGTGCATTTTTACTCTGATCTGAATAAAGACTGATAAAAGATTGCTTTGAGTGGAAACAATACAAAAAATATTTTGGAGAAGTATCTTTTTAGGTTTGCACTTCAGATCTAGTGATTAAGCATTTTTAGCATCAGGTGAAACATACTTGAGAAATAGTGGTATCTTAGTGTTACATGCTACATTTTATTGTTTGTTAACACTGCACAATGGCATTCAGTATCTCAGTCATCCTAAATGAATCATATTAGCGTTATTAGATTTTTCTTTTTTTATTTCTTCATTGTGCATTTTCAGGTAGAGATTGAGAAGCTGGATTATCATCACTATCTGCCTCTGTTTTTCGATGGACTTTGTGAAATGACATTTCCCTATGAGTTTTTTGCTCGGCAAGGAATCCATGACATGCTGGAACACGGTGGGGACAAGATTCTCCCTGTCATTCCTCAGCTCATTATTCCAATAAAAAGTAAGTGAGTATGTGGAAAAACCCTAACATTGAATTTATATAGTGTAGCTTTTTGACAAGTTGCTAATTAAGCAATAAAACATGACAGGCTGTGCATTTCTAGGAGATTACTGCAAACCCAAGTAAATTGTGAAGTATGAGGACAGAAGGTGTGTGCCTTCAGTCACCCAGTATGTTCAGTAATCCAAAGAAATGTGCTGTTTCGTTTGTCTTTGTCTTATTACAGTGTCGATTTTGGTATTTAGAAATCTACATTTTTAGTTTATCTTTCATCTATGTATTAATTTAGTGTATCCATTATAAAAATAATCTCATAAGAAAACAAAAGAGCAAGAAATGTTAGGAAATTATTAAGGTTTCCCCCCCTTTATTTCTAATATACTTCACAACTGTCTCCACTAGATCTTCCTTTTTTCTGATACCCACTATTTTCCATTCTCATCACTCATCTTATCAACAGGTTTGAACTTAGGTCACTACAAGTACATCTACATGAGACTGTGACAAACCATGACGCCAACACTTATGTCACCGTAGCAACAAGCTACCTCACTACAGTGGGTCACTACGGTGATGTAGCTGCTAAAAATAACCATGGGCCATCATTTATTACTTCCTAAAGCAAATACTAAATGATAGTGCAGTAACAACTGCACCATGGGGGGCACTTGTAAACACGCCCTGATTGACGAAAGGATATATCATTTTAAAATGTTGATGTTTCTATAGAACATGTATTTTGGAAGTATTTATAATTCCAAACACAAATCTTTGCTGAAGTGCAGTTTGAAAGTTAAGACGTGGTACAGCTGTAGGGAGACCACTGTAGAAATTTATTTCACTTTAAATATTACAGTTTTCTAAGTATACATGTATTTCTGTTTGGCCTTTTCCTGTTCTTTTGCTATGTCATTGAAGCAAACCCATTTTTCTCTGACCTCTCCACAAGATTCTTGTTATACTTATCCTTCCACCCAATAAATATGGAAATTATATTAGACCCTTTCCTTGATTGGTCATAACAATCATTGATATAAAACACTGTATTTTCTCACATATAATATGCACCTTTCCCCAAAAATCAGCCCACACAAAACTGGGGGGGAGGGTGTATTAAGAGGGGAAGCTCTCTTCTTTGGTGGAAAAGAAGCATGTGTAGAGACATTGTGCGTGCCATGCAGCTGCCAAGATAGCTGCCACTTGTCTGTCTCAATAAGCTGAAGGGGCAGAGTCCTGTGTTAACCTTCTCATGGCCATAACTATTGCCTGAGCACTGTAACTTGTGCCTGAAGCAGTAAGTCAACTGCAGGTATTATCTTGATGAGGCTTATGATGTAGAAACAACACTTTATTTACAAGAACTTATACAAAGAACTAGTTATAGTAAACAAGCAACAGTTTTGCTACTGCAGTTTGCAAAGGTCTTGGGCCTAATCTTAGGTGACATGGAGTAGGTCATCCTGAGAACACAAACAGGAGGTTCCTGCTGCCTCACCCAGATTGTCTCCTGGGATGCCATACTTCCTGCACAATTTGTTGTGTTTGTGAGAAAATAGAGGATGGGATCAGGAATTGAACCAGAGTTCACCTACATGGCAAAGCAGAGAAACACCATGGGCTTTTTTACAGGTGAGGAAAATCAGTCTGAGTGGTTAATGAACTTGCCCAGTTTCACACAGTGCTTGGAACGGAGTCCGTATCATCTGGCTCTTATGTCTCAGCCCTCTGAACAGTCCAGTCCCACAATGTCAACTACAGTTTTCTGAAAGTGGTAGCCACCATACTACTTCTGATCTGCAAATTTTGTCTTGATTGTCCAGTCAGAAGGGCAAGAATATGAAATTGTCCTCTGGCTTAATTTCTGAAGAGGATTTTTTTGACTTCAGGAGGGAGAGGCCACCAGAGCTAATGCAGAATCACTCTAGCATAGGTTTATATCTAAAATATTGCAGAATGAATGAAGTCAATCATAATTTAGGGGAAAGGATGAAAGACAGTTGAGGACATGATAAAACACAGGCATTACAATATTAAGGACCAGGATTGGCCTTTTATTCATTTGATATTATTATTTAAAAATGATTAGTGAAAAATGTAACTAGCTATGCCAGTGGTTAGCAACCTTTTGCCACTATGGGCCAGAACTTGCAACCCAGCCCACTGCTCCACCCCCAGAATGTCCAAGCTGCTGACCTGTATCCTTGCTGCAAATGCCCAGGCTGTTTGCAGCAAGAGCAAGCACAGATGTAAGAGCAGCAGGGAGGTCTGTAAAGGGGGTTGTTGACAAGGAGACAGGCTGCTCAGTGTAGCTGCATTCTGCCCAAACCCCCGTGATGTCCCAGCCTTGATCAGACCTTCATGGTCTGGATCCTGTCCCCAGGTCATATGTTGTTGACCCCTGAGCTAGACTGTATGGTATGGATATAGGGAAGATATTTTTAAAATACCAAAAGAAACGTGTTGTCCTCAATAACTGCTGAATTCTGAAACCCAACAATAATAATCACTTTCTTGGAGGATTAAGCACATACAATGAATAATATTGTTATTTATTTAAAAGTTGTTTTAAGGTATTTAAATTTTTATTGTCAGAATTCATGGTATATTTGAACAATATTAATGGGGGAATTTAATAGCAGCCTTCAACTACCTGATGGGAGGTTCGAAAGAGGATGGAGCTAAACTGTTCCCAGTGTTGCCAGATGACAGAACAAGGAGCAACGGTCTCAAGTTGCAGCAAGGGAAGTTTAGGTTAGATTGTAGAAGTGTAGGAAGAATTTTCTCACTAGGAGGGTGGCAAAACACTGGAACAGGTTACTCAGAGAGAGGGTGGAATCTCCATCCTTGGAGGTTTTCAAAACCCAGCTAGACAAATCTTTGGCTGGGATGATCTAGTTGGTGATGGTCCTGCTTTGAGCAGGTGGTTGGACTAGATGACCTCCTGAGCTCCCTCCCAACCCCAGCCTTCTGTGACTCAATGGTATATTTGAATATAGCCAACATTTAAGTATGTCTTTAATAATCAAATATAAAAATATACAAAGAATTCTAATGTAATGGCTTCAACTTCATAGTTAGGTCTTTCCTCAACCCCCACACACCTTCTGTATCCATTTATTTTTTAAGTGACTATTTAATAGCTTAATCCCATTGCATGGTTTTCATCCATATATAGAAAAATCAACATATAAATATAAATGGGGAATTGATGCTAAAGCTTTTTAAACAGCATCCTACCTCTGGGGAGTGGAAAACATCGAAGAACACAGTCGTTTATTTAATTTGTTTTCAACCTTATTTCAGTGCAGATAAGTTCTTTTTTAATTATTTTTTTAGCAGTTTTAAAGTTTGGAGAGGTATGTTTTTAATGAATAACCCCATTAATGCAAATGACATTGGCCTCTCAAGCACATTAGATGTGTACACTTGTAGTAGATTTTAGATTTTAAATTTGCTGTATGTAGTAAATTCACAGCCACAGATCTTTGTCATTCTGCTGCCTGCACAATAAACACAGCTGTCTTTTAAACTCATTGGAGTCTCTGAAGTGTCTCTTTAGGTGAGTTTTATCTGACTAGTTAGTCATCTCTTAGACCACTACAGTATTTCTATTTTGAAAGAAAAAGCAGTGCCACTGGACAGGGACTGCTTCGCAAGAGATCATTGTTGGGGCAAAGGGAAAGAGACTGAGAGAAAGAAATAACTTTTTAAATAAAGCTTTTATAAAAGCATATGCGTCAAAGAAAAATACCAGTGAGGGGCTGCTCTCCAAAGACAGTTAAAATGAGAGAGAGTAATACTACATCACATTTTTAATGCTTTTAGGGAACAATTTACTGTCTTCCTGCCCCACATGTTCTTTCTTAACAGTACACATTTTCAAACCATGTCTTGAAGTTGAAAATAACGTTATTTAATACACATATAAAGTATCTCAAAATCATTTATTTTTAACAATTTCTCCTCAATAGTAGGGGCAGACTATGGCTAACAATGATATGAAAGTTGGTAATAGAGTCATACATTTTGCCCTTTCTGCTGTTTACACGTCATACAGGTTTAAAATAATAGGAATTTATATGTGTGGTGTTTCCAAATGTAACTACCTATCATTATTTCCCCTTTAAAAATATTGTTGCCTTTTTTTCCTTTTGAACAAGCATGCAGCAAAAATTCAGAACAAAAAAAATCATGGATTGGAAGAACTGTCTTAACAAGGAAAGTTAAAATTTCATTTTGCACTGACAAAATATAATATAAATATAGGGTATTTATGCACGTGCTGCAAGAGACAGGGGGGCACTTTAATGAGAACGGCTCCCATATATAGGTGTGGGAGACAAAGGTGCATTTTAGCAGCATTAGTGTTCCATTCTTCTCAGGGAAAACTGAGGCCTGGCAAGCCAATCATAGCAACTAAGATTTGTTAGAAAATAAAGGGGCTAGCTATTGTGGTAAATACTTTGCAATGGAAACGCATTGTTTTAGAATCTTGTCTATTCATTGGGATTATGTAAACATTCTTTTTTGACATGTACCCTGCCAGGAAAAAAATGCTTTTAATTTCATATTTGTCAAATTAATCTATACATAATTATGTGTAAAAATATAGCATATGTGGGCTGTTATTTTAAGAAGCAGTAACTAAACACTTATAGAGTGCATGTACATGTGCAATTAATTCAAAGCAATAAACTCTGGAGCAGTTGGAGCCAGAGTTAACTACTCCTGGGTGCAGCATCTATATGTGCACCCAAGACAGCAGCAATTTGAGCTGGGGCAGCACAGTGTACGTCAGGATCACTTGCTCTACTGACAGGGGACATGGAGGGTCAGCTCTACAGGTGGCAGTGTTGGACAGTGGAGGGGATGGCTGGGGCACAAGGGTGCTGAACGTGCAGAGCCATATGGCTAGGCAGCAGGCAGGAGTCTAGCCCCCTGCTGGCTGGGCTAACTGGGTGCAATTTACACCCGTGGTCAGAGTCTACATGTGCATTTAA